AGTTCGACTGAAATTTAGGACGCAATGGTGATGAGGGATTGCTCGTTATTTGCGCAATTCAAATTGTACGTGACGATATCGTATTGTGTCGTCACTGCCGACGCTAACCATGACACAGATTCAGAAAGCGCCGTGACATAAACAAATATACTTTTTTAATTTACTTTTTGTAACACAAATATTATCTTCCTTATCTTTAATTATTTTTCTGCTAAGATCGGGTGCACACCTTTGATTAACTATCGCACAACTGTTGTGCTTGTCTGGATGCGATTGTCGATTGTTTCGCAGCCAAATCCACTGTTTAGTTGTACAACTAAAAATCGAGTTTTGAGCCCACCTCCATTTAGAAATCAAAACGTGACTAAACAGTTGTGCGATCATGTTGTTTCAGGTGTGCGTACTCTCTTAATATTTCAGCCAAAAGTTTATATTCCGTTCTAATAATACTTTAATATTATTTCGTAACACAAAAACTTTATAGGATTTTTCTCATCTCAGTAATGTACTGTAGACTCCTCGGGAATTACGACGCACCCTATTCTTACAAACTTCCCTTCATTTTTACACAACTTTTGGATGATTTTTTTTTGTTAAACTTTGTTATTTGTGTAATAACTTTGTTACAATACACATTTAGATATAAATAATTGTTAAAGAATAACATTTCTACTTTATATTTACAAGTTTTCATGTTAAATTTGCTATATGTAGGGTCTACAATGATTGGTTCATTTTATACGCTTTAATTTGTTTATTGTACACCAATAAGAGCTTAAAGCTTTCAGGATGTGCTGATTTTCACAATTCTTTTGTTCACCATCAATTAATAAAAGAAATAAAATCCCTTTACCTATGTTTCCCATCTACCTTTAAAGTTATTTACGTATTGACTCGGCCTAAAACTCCTGACCTACTTCGCATCAAAGAATAAACATTTGATTTTTTTCAGTGTCATTCGTGTTCTAATTCACTGTCCTATTCAACGTTGAATACGCTTGTTTTGTGGCTAATGGTGCGTTTTTATTATCTCTTGACATCAGGTATACCGCTGGTTACTGCGAATCGAATAACGTGATTAGTCCGTGTATACCCATTAAATTTAGGGGATAAATAATTTGGATATACTATTATAATAAAGCGTAAACACACACTTCTTTGTTGCCTAAGATATCAGCAATTACAGCACATTTTTTAATAATTCTTTATTTAATAAAAAGCCCTACACTTACGTTACTCTTTAGGCTATATATCACGCCATTAAACTTAGGGGATAAATAATTTGGATAATAACCCTAATTAGGGAAAGAGACCATAAGTTGCTACCAACATCAAGAAAGCAAAATTGCCAAGGTTTGTCATGTTATCATTTTGACATTTGCTATAATTTGACAAAATGCAAACATGGGAACAGCTATTCTTTGTGGAAAATTAAAAGGCATTTTCCTCGATTTAATAGCTAATGAAATTGAGAAGTAACAGTTAAAACATTTCGTAATTGGAAACCGGTTCACAAATCAAAAGCGAGGGAAAATGAAAGGAATAAAAGTTAAATAGCATTGTAGAGTTATATTAAATTGTCGTTCAATTCCCGGAGACGGAATTTGATTCCGTTTGATAAAAAAAATTAATGAATCCCAAATTGCCTGTCGGTGACTTAGTTAACAATATACCTTTGATATTTTACTTTGTAGACGTCCAACGGAGATAGTTTCTGTACTGATTATAATCTGGAATAAATACCTACAAATTAAGGTCATCTTTGTAGTTAACCAGTATCTTTTGGAATGAAATGTTCATGAAGATTTACAATTTTAGATGTAATCATCATCACCAGCTCTCTATACGTCCCCACCGAGGGGCTCGGAGCCTACCCTAAGTAAGGGTAACTAGGCCATAGTCAACCACGCTGGCCAAGTGCGGGTTGGTTGACTTCACACATATCTTTAAATTTATTCGCGGATATGTGCAGGTTGCATCACGATGTTTTCCTTCACCGTACGAACGTTGGGTAAATTATGTACATATGAAAATTCACAATTCACAAAAAAATCACATTGGTACATGGCGGCGGGATTCGAACCCAAGACCTGTAGATTACAAGTCAAGTGCTTAAACCACTGTGCCACCGACGCAATACTTAATAATAGATGTAATACTTAGGTTTTATTAATAATGTTTCATTATAGAATCTTCAACAAGCGACATTCAACGTATGTGGCGTCGATAGTGGAAATAGACGTTAAAAGTCATAAATAACGCGAGTTTAAGCACAGTTGATTATTTCCACTAAATCGATCGAGGTGTACTAGAGACTGTAATTGGCATGTGACAGTGGAAATAAAGTCTATCATATTAATATTATAAATGGGAAAGTTTAGATGGACGGATGGATGTTAGTTGGTAGCTAAAACGGCTGAACGGATTTCGATGAAATTTCGTATAGACGTAAAGAATAGTCTCGAAGAACACATAGGCTACTTACTTCTGTTTTTTTTATACCACGCGGTCGGAGTCGCGGGCGAAAGCTGGTCTTCAATATATGTAATAAAACTGTGTTTATAATATCAAAATAAAAATCCAGATTTCGGAAAGATAATGTATTTGCGTTGGTGATAAAATCGCATTTCAAAAATTTTTGTTCTGTTTATCTGTCTGTCCGCAAGCCGCGTTTGTTCCGGTTAATCGGCAGGTCGGATTTCGAAAGGACTTTCACTGAAGGGTAGCTCACATAGACGGGCATATTATAGGCTACTTTTTATACCAGAAATAGCTACTGTTCCCGCGGGTACGATTTCATTTTTGTGATTACACGAGGACGAAGTCGCGAGCAATAGCTAGTTAACAAATAAATCTCGCATATTATGTTATCAGCAATATGACAATATGACGATGACTACACCGAGTTTACTAATAACTGTAAATTGCGTTGCCACACAAACTCAAGCTCAGTTATGATCGCCGGCTGACAGGTTCATTACTATCTCATCTACACTCTATTTGACATATTTCTACTTCCCCGTGTGGGCGGAGGGACTTTAATTTATTTTCTACATTAAGAGTCGCTTCTAGCATGAAAAACTTTGACTATACTGTTACTCTACTGTTGCGATTTTCGATTGTTACGCAGCAAATGCAACTGTTTTATTGGACCACTAAAATCGAGTAGTGTGCGCACCTCCATAAGCTCAGAGGAATCAAAGCGCGATTAGTTGTTCGATAGTTTAGTCAAAGATGTGTGCGCACTTTAAAGTAGTGAAAGTGATAAAATTAATTCATAAGGAGCCCTACTTATAACAGAAAATATGAAAACACCCCGACAAAAACTTAGGTTAAATTTACGCAGGGTATAATTTTTACTAAAAATTTATAATTTAATTTTAGCAGACAAAAGAAACTCGTCTTTCGTGAAAATTATTTTCTAAGGTTTCTTTGTATTGAATATTGTTTTTCATTCACAAAAAAATAACAATGAGTATTATTTTCTAACGTTCATTTTATTTTAACATTAAAATAGCAATTATTCTTTAAAAAAAATCAGTGAAAACTAAATTCACACACTTCTTTGTTGCCTAAGATGTCAACAATTACAGCATATTTTTAAATAATTATTTTATTAATAAAAAGCCCTACAGTTACGTCATGCTTTAGGCTATTTATTTTCATGCCATTAAACTTAGGGGGTAAATATTTTGGATAAAAACCCTAATGTGGGAAAGAGGCCATAAGTGTCAACGTCAAGCAAGCAAGATTGCCAAGGTTTGTCATGTCATGTCATTTTGACATTTGTTATCGATAATTTGACAAATGTAAACAACAAAATAAAATTTTCATAATGTCGTGCGGATGAAGCCGCGCGGGAACAGCTAGTACTAATAAGTCATTACTTAACAATTCGATTTAAAAACACACACTTCAGTTACATTTTAAAGACGAGCCGACCTCTGGCTTCTACATGGTGGCAAAGGATATACGTCTGTTCTCTTTTCTGTCATATGAGTACCCTTCCCATTTATTAAGTAGGAATATTCTTGACCCGGCGCTTCTATCAAAGGTAAACGTCATCATCTCTCCTACCTTATCCTATTCCCCTGCCTCGACATTCATAAATCTAGTTCTCCTTTTAAAATGCCATTCATCCCTCCTCATAACTTTTTCTTTTACTCCTTAGTTTCTCTATCACTGGGGCTACTCTCAAACTTCCTCTAACATACTCATTTCGCATCTTATCAATATCTGTACATATAAAATTGGAGTATCTGTTTGTAATATCAAAAGAAAAATTCCAGATTTTGGGAAGATAATTTACATTGCTGATAACGCAAATCGCATTATAAAATTTTTATCTGTCTGTCTGTCTGTCTGCCCGAAGCCGCGTTTGTCATGTGTAATTTCCGAAATGGCTAGGTCAATTTCGACGGGACTTTTACTGACATAGACGGGCATATTACAGGCTACTTTTTTTTATCTTAGTATTGCATGGATAAATCGCAGGCAACATCTAGTATCGGAAAATTTCGTACTAGAGCAAATTGTTATTAAATGTGTGCCTACAAAGAATTATGTATCGAAGAAAGGTTTCGGTTTTATTTTTGGTTCGTTTTTAACATTTTATACGTTAGAGAATTATGTCCACAGCTATAAATAAAGCATATTATCGATACATTTTAACACATTGACAGTTTTTTTACACGTTTTACTACATTCCATATTTATAGACCAATAACTGTTAGAGTTTGACGCAATAAAAATATCACGACATAAAGATAAAGATAAAAAAATGCGTTTCATTCCACAGCATTATTATTTGCGAAAAACGTCAGCCTCTGTACTTATACTAACAGAAGAGACAATTAAAACTCAATATAATCCGTAGCGAAAACTTCTTAAGGAGCTTAAATTAAAAATAAATGTATACGCGTTAAGAACTTGTGCAAATAAAATATAAAACTACATAGATTTGTTTGTATATCATGCACATAAAATGTTAATGTACTTACATTACATCCTGTTTTTGTGAAAAGTCCAGCGGAAACAGATGCTAATGAAATTCAGTAACTGTTAAATATATTTAAAACTAACAGACTATTTTTATGTATATCTCACTTTATTATAAATTAATTCATGTGATAGAAATTGTAATTAAAAAAAAATAAAAAACAACACAGTGAAAAACAAAATTTTAAACGAAATAAAATATGAATGTTGCAGATAACTGTGAATATTTTTAATAAACTATTTTACGATTCGTTCAACGTTAACAAGTTCAAAGATATCTAAGCGTGGAACGTCCGAGCACGACGGCATCCGAACGATGACTGAGATATTGCGATCTGGCTCCCTGCGAGATACAAGATGGAAACCACTGTCGGGAAAATCACGGCCAACGAAACATCACAGGGAACCTTTGTTAATGAAAACGTGTCTTCCACGAAACATGTAATTTTGTCCACTTGTAGATCAAATTACATTTCTGTACAATCTTCTTTCTGTCTTTAATGAAATGTAATAAAAATCAACTATTTGTATCAGATATTTTCATATGTCGGCATTAATTGGCTTAGAAACTTCTTGGACAAAAACAGTAATAATCTTTAGCCAATTTTTACGTGATATCCTTCTTGTCTTGTGTCCCCAAAGTGAGGCAGAGGGTGTCCACAGTACGCCGCCAGCTCGCTGTGTCCTGGGCCTGCGTTTTGTTTAGGACTACGACGGCCCGATTGCCTTCAAGTCGGCGGCCACTGAACGTCTCAGGTTTGTTTAGGGCGGCCACGCTTTCTTGTTCATGTGATATACAGCCAAATAAAACGAAAAATAAATAATCACTTCGTTTGTCAAAATTTTAAAGGAATTCGGAGTTTATTATCTTATCATTTAAGACGCTTTTCCTTATTGAAATTTATGTCATTATTGGACGTTGTTTCATTGTGATTTGATTTAAGTAAGCCATAATTTGTTTAGCTAATTTTTTTTTATATTGAGCAGTTGCACGCGAGAGGAACCGACGTGGAATGGTTATGCAAATAACATATGAATAATGAGTTTCGTGTGAAGGATGTTAATATTCCGCGAGCGAAAGAATATTCTGACGTCATTATATTTATATCATGTGTACATTCTAGAATATTCTAATTATGCTAAACAAAATTTAACATTTCATATTTCATAGTCATTTTGATACAACTCTTATAAAAAAAGTAAATGTAATTCAATTCAGTAAATTTTACTTAGTATAAGTTAGTATTGTACATATAAAATAGATTATATAATTATGTTCGTGCACATGGACATTTACCCAGTGCTTAAAGACTGGGCTGTCCATGCAGCTCCCCACCACCTCCAGGACAGTGTTGCGGCTGCCGTATTTTAATATGATGTACTTTTTTTGTTAACGTGAAATTCTAACTGAGTAATTAAGTCTCGTTATTACCAATACGTGGCAACGATTCAGATTGCTCACATACTGTTAAATATAAATCGAACCGAAATTCATTTATAACTTTAATAACGTATGGAACACTAGCTTTCGCCCGCGACTCTGTCCGCATGGAATTAAATAAAAAAACAAAAAACTACTTCTATATATTATAAACACCATTGAATTATACCTTTATATTTTCCTATGTAGTTGAAATAAAAAACTGAATAAACAATTACCATTAGAAATCTATATTATCACTGAATAATGGAGGCTTTATTACTAGAATTTGTTTTTAATTCCTCTAGGATAGGGGTGGCGAACATATATACATCAAAGTGCCATTTTTTAAAGAAATGTTGACGTACCTTCGAATAATTTTGACTGTCATTATTACGTTAATTCCTTGATGCATGTATTTCATAATTTTTAGTGTTTTAGTTTTATGGCTATTAATGTGCCCAAAATATTATGTCGTGTGCTATTTACGGCATGCGTGCGAATGTTTTGTCAACCCTGCTCTGGGACAATAGGACAACGGTGCAAAAGCTTAGATATAAAGTGTTTAGCTTCAATGTTAACATCTTTGCGTTATACGTGAAAGTTAGTTATAAGATCCTTCACGTACTTAGAATCAGAGACTTCCTTAAGTTAGGAACTAGGATTTATATCCGATTTCCCAGCTTTTAAACATTCGTTACTGTAATGGTTTCATAACTTCATGAAATACTCATACGTTTCCGATCTACGTAAAACTTATATTTCACTTCTTTGAAAGTTAGTTCAACATAAAACTAATAATACTTTATTAGTGTTAGGTAATAATAAAGTAAATCAAAAATTCAGCAACCTAGTATCAGTTAACCACTCTGTCTCAATGCAATTTGCCTTTACATTTAAATTATTTCGCTTTTTTATTGCGATGTTTTTATCTATCGTAAACACAGCAATATTACATAATACTTTTTTTAGTGAAAATGAATTTTGGCATTGGAAAATTGGCAGAATGCCCCAATTCGGTAACATTTATTCAGTATCCCATCGGTTACATTATAGACACCATGTCCCCTTACACTACTTTGCTCGCATATTTCGGAGTAAGTTTTACTTTCATGTTAAAAACAGTTAAGAAAATCACAGTTTATTAAGAGTTTCTTTTATTGTTGTGTGTTTCGTGTGACATTGTGATGTCATTTTTACAAGAACATTGTTTATTCTGGTAGGACGTTGTTGTTGAAGTCTTTTGTGTTCTTCCAAACGTTCGTAATATTTTGTGCTCGTGCCTTAACTTGAGAGCTTAAAACATAACCTTTAAAATACTCTTTCAAAGTGTTAAATAAAAAAAGTTTATTTTTTATTATAAGAGGCACGTTTGCGTGGAATTACAAAAACACAAGTAAGTAGCCTATGTGTTCGTCCAGACTATCCTCTATGTTTATGCCAAATTTCATCAAGATCCGTTCAACAGTTTAGGCTACAAACTCTAACAAACATCAATCCATCTTTCGCATCTGTAACATTAGTATAGATTGTAACGTAGTTTTATGTTTTACAAATGATAAATAAGTGGTTTTACAAGTAATTTCTTACTTCTTATTCTTTCAGTTATATTTTCTCTTCATGCTGGTGTATTTCGTGGTCATTTGCGTGGTCTGCGTTTTATTTATATTCTGGTATCAAAGGAGGCACGGCGACGACACGCCTTGTACACTGCGAGAGGATACGCCGCTACGGTCACATTATTGAGTAACTTATGAATATGTTTACAATGTTACAAAACCAATTTTATTTTTTTAACTTTGAAGATGTATTTAATAAATTGACAGAAATGTAAATGTTTATTTAAAATTGTTATTAACACTTGTATTTGTGTTTGATTTGATAAAATCCTTTATCGCACTTTGCCTCTCTTTCATCCTTTACAAAATGTCATAAGTTAAACTGTTTAAACTTTCGTGAGATATTTTGAGCTTTACATTTCAACTAGCTGTTGCTCGCGACTTCGTCCGCGTGAAACTAAGAAGCGTAGTCTAACTTATTAACAGGTAAATAACCTTTCTAACGGAGAAAGGATTTTAAAATCAGTCCAGTATACTTCATAATCTTACTAATATTATAAATGCGGATGGATGGATGTTTGTTAGAGTTTGCAGCCTAAAGGTCTGAACGGATCTCGATGAAATTTGATACAGAGGTAGAGTAATGTCTGGAATAACACGTAGGCTACTTAGTTTTTCTTTTAATACCACGCGGATGGAGTCGCCGGCGAAAGCTAGTATTATTATAAATGTAGATCATATAAAGCTCAACATTATGTAGTGTGTCAATGTGTCTATGTGAATTAATAAAATAAAAATAAAATAGCCTTTATTGCTTTTCAGATTACAATTAATTATAAGTGCCTAGTTATTAAAAATAGATTCTTCTAATCAATTAAAATTTTTTACTTTAATTATCGGAACTGGTTGTGTGTGCGGAAAAGCTTGTCTACCGACAAATGCCTCCTCTAAAGATTTCCACTCCTTCTTGTCTCTTGCCAACCGTATCCATACTGGACCAGCTATTTTCTTGAGGTCATCTTCTCATCTTTTGTTTTGTCTGCCTCTTTTTCTTTTGCTATCTCTTGGATACCACTCTGTTGTTAACTTGGTCCATTTCTCTTTGCTTTCTCTTAGCATGTGTCCCGTCCAACGCCATTTAAGCCGAGACGGTTTTGCTTGCCTTTGTCAATCTATGGAAGAAAAATGAGGTATTGAAAGTCCGGAAACATCTTAAAGATATATATATCACAGAAGATTATTCTAAAGAAGTTCTGGAGAAAAGGATATTGCTACAAAATAAATTGAAAGAAGAAAGAATGAAAGGTAATTTCGCATATCTTAAATATGACAAGCTAATAGTAAAGGAAAATAATACAACCAATGATAGAAGAAAGAGAGAAATATCTTCATCGCCGCCAAGCAATATACAAGCAAAAAAACACCAAGTCGGGTCGTCATCTCAAAATAATAGGCGCAATGCTTTTGATATTATGAGAGGCAGATCCAACTCCCTCTCTTCCTTTACAACGGATAACAGGCAATAACAATTAGCTATCGGCAACCGGAAAACACAACATCAAAATATAGAAAACAGTACATCTAGAAATTATAAAATTCCCCCAAGCCGACTGGTCCTCGTGGGGGAAAACGACCACGACCCTCTATGAGAATCATTTGCATTTAAATACTGTAATATATAATCTAATAGTCGAAATAATAAGATTCAACATTAAATAAAATTAAATTGTAACAAAATCAAAACAATAAGCAAATTAAATGTGCTACGAAGCTGCTACGCGGACTCTACGTAGGTGTTTCGTAGGAGGGGATTTATTAATGCTAATAATATTACTCGTATATTAACATAAAATAATGAGTTGATAAATTTGTTGAGAATTAATGTAATTTTCTAGTTCGCTAAACAGTACATTTTGTATTCATAAACTTAATTTTACCTTTGCGTGTTTACCAATTAGGTATGTAGCGAATAGGCTAGTTAATCGATTCTAATGCGACACCCGTGCCCTCTCGAGTGACGCGTAAAAACGCAGGCCAATGAGAGAGCGCGAGCGCATGACATCGATGTGATGCACAAATGTGCGCATGAATCGCCAGATAA